TTATCATCGTTATGGTTATTTTTATCATCGTTACGGTTATTTTTATCAACATCGTGAAAATTTAGACGATTCTCTTCTCGATATAAAAAAAGTGATCGAATCTTATTCAAATGACTTCAGTGGCTGTTTCAGAACCAAAACTAAATCTAGATGGAAATGTTCAGACTCAAAAAACACTGAAAACATCGAGAAATCTCAACAATTGCAAAAGTGATTTGATCTACGCAATGAACAATGACGCAAATGACTCGACCTCATGTGGTGCTGTGTGAGCGAGTACCTTCTCAATGCGATGCTGTGCTAAAACATATTCAATGTCACTGTCTCGGAATGGCAATCCCTGCGCTCCGACTTTTCGTGTTATATGCGGATGGTTCTGAAATTAATCCGGCAATCATGAATTTTTAATCGCTCGACAACTCGTTGTATGGCCTCACAAAAAGAAGAAACTCAGATAAAGTCGCTTGTTCGCACTGTGAATCGATCACGCAAACTAATTTGTTTTTACATTAAATTTCAGCTCCATTCATGAGAATGATTCCACTTGAAAAAAATTAGCCTTTTTGAAGCGTTGTACATTTTGAATTAATTTCAAAATTAAATAAGACGGGTTCGATTCTCGTTCGCGGAGGAAACTTTTGCTCGAAACCGAATGGTGTACCAATATCATTAAATAAGACAATAACTTTGGTGAGCAATTAATGAGGTCAGTGATAGACGTGATGATAGTGCTCGTGATAAGGAAATTGAATCAGATAATAGTGATGATAAGAATGAAAGTTGAACAGACTTGAAAAGTAACAAAATCGGCGAAATCCCCCGTTACGACATGTCCATCTTGATCTGTTGTTCCCAACAAACCCTCCGTCCATAAAACAGCATCTTTTGGTTCAGGCAAATGTGAGTCCAGCGTCGAGTCCCAATACGGTAGTGACAGATCTGGATCGATTTGTCGCAGGGCGATTTCCATTCTGTTAATATAATTCATAAAAATTATCATCTTAAACTTATGCAAAGTATAACTGATGGCTCAACGTGAATGATGATCGAGCGACCACCTTTTCATGAATTCCCGATGCCACGGTAGGAACGCAGGTCCAGAATGTGCACCACCACTGATCGAAAACTGCGCATGAATTATAGCCATCTTATCGAATTCACCATTTCGTTTGAGGTGTATGATGGCTGCGTGAAAACGTTCACGTTCTTTATCGCTCATCATACGATACTCTTTACGAATCGCCTTCTTAAGTGGACGTCCATTTGGTAGAATACACACTCCATTTTTTTGAATTTTTCCTGAAGCAATGCTGCTGATTAACTCACTCTGAACAGAAACTTATTTTTCACTTCGGTTGCGATTGCTTCTAGAATAGAGCAGTGGCCAATTGTTCATGCCTTAGAGTTTAAAGCTGTTTGAAAGG